CCGGGGTCAGCTGCTGCCAGCCTGCGGCCCAGAGTGGGCCGGCTCGGCGCATAGTTTCATAAGTCCGGCTCCCCGCCCACAGGGCAGGCGCGACGTGCAGGAGCCTCCAGCGCGCCAGTCAGCACGCCGCGCACGTCCAGGTAACGCGCGCCCAGGGGCCACGGCTCAGAGCTGGGCGATCCCAGGACCCCGATCGGTCTCCGCACGAGCGTGGAAAGAGCAGCAGGGTCGCGGTTCCACGAGCCCGGGCAGTCAGAGGGGGCGGGAGCGCTGGGCGGGGCCTAGGCTGACCCTAGCTGTGGAGTACCCGGGGCGGCCCAGCGGATGGCGTGGCCGGACGCGGGGGCCCGAGGCTTTCCGGGCGTGACCCGGGGGGTGGGGGCACAGAGGCCGCCCGGCGGGGCGGTCCTGGGTGGTCTGGCGGAGGCGGAGGCGGAGGCCACTTCGGGCGCCTGGAGTGGAGGAGGTGGGTGCGCCCGCAGAGGAGGGAAGGGGGCGGGGTGTGCCGCTCTGGTGGGGGCGGTGGGGTCGGAGAGGGGACATTTCCCTGGAGGCAAGCGCCGGGACGAGGCTCCGAGTCCCCGCCCGAGGCCGCCCCCGCGAGTTGGCCGTGGGCCCGGCGGTCCCCGAGGGCAGCTCGAATTCTTTCGCCAAGCCCGCCGGGAGGCGAAGGACCGGCCGCCCAGAGCTTCGATAGACTTCCTTCTTTCGGCGGCCAACTCGAACACGCGCCAACTCCGAGCTTGTGTCCCACGTGACCCGGGGGAGCCTAGGCCAGGGCACTGAGCTCCCCAACTGCGCGCCTCCCGCAGAGTTATGGATACCCGGGCGAGTGGCCTCCCACAGCCTTAGTAAAAGGGGCCGGTGGTGCTGAAGGGCCTCCCCCTCTCGCCTTTACCAATCCAAGGGTTGCTACCAAGGCTCTGACCTCGCAGGAAGGGTCTCCTGCCCCCTCACCCCTCTCCACCTTCATGGGAGACAGTACCCCCTTGCTAGTTCCATCCCAGTACCCCAGAGCCTGGTCAGTGAACTCCTTAGAAATGAATACTCTTTAGACTAGGTCTTGGAGCCAGTTTCAGCTGGATGCTGAACTGGCTCTTGGGGCTGCCCAGGATGCTGCAGACCTGCATCTGGAACTGCTGGTACCCAGGCCTAAGAGGGAGGGGCCAGCTCCCAGGCTGCCCAGGTCCCTACCAACTTTGGATGATGGAAGGGCTCTCTTTGCCACTGGGCTAGTCCATTTGCCCCAAGTCTGAACCTGACCTCCAACCTTCCAGGAAAGCACCACCACGAGGAGCCTTACTCTTTAAGGTAAATAGTGCGCTGGGAGTCCCCCCAACTCCCTCCACGTCGGAGGAAGAGCTAGCCTCTAAAGAGTGGCCTGTTCTCTTGCCTCTCCTCCTGCTGCCTGCCTGCCTTTGCTCCGTCACATGCCAAGAACACCCTTCCTGCTGGTCTTAAGTGGCTTTCCTTTGGAGGTCCTGCCCTCCTCTTGGGGTCCCGCACTGCAGTCTGAGGATGCTGAGGGAGGCCCAAGTAGGGGCTGCCCCGGGGGCAACCACTATCAAACTTATTGGCCTCTGGGAACCCATACAAGTAAAAGCAGGGTGGAAGTGGTGGAAGTAGGTATGAACAAAAAATACTGCAAGCTGTATCAGTAAACAAAGAATGCTGTGGCCATCAAATCATCAGCCATTACTGCCAACTCAGGATATAGACAAGCAAGCAGCTTGGCTTCTACTGCCACCCCCAGTGGTGCTCCCTGAAGGACGTCAAAGAACAAGACACTGGCCCTAGATAGCTACGGTGCATATCAAAGAAATGATTTCAATGAGCCTAGATGTTTGTGCTTTCCCACATATAGAAAAGTACTAAATTATTTAACTTGAGATGTCTGGTTTTCTTTAGTTAACAGTAATCTTTTAATGTTCTGACTACCTGGTCTTGGTTGTAAAGCTCCTATATATCCTGGCTCCTCCCCTGCCTCTGCAGACCAGTCCCTCAGCAATCTGAGAGGCTGTCACCCTGGGCTTGAAGGGGTTCAAGTCCTCAGAAGTGTCCACCAAATAAATGTAACTCTCAACTTTTAGGTTGTGCCTTTATTTCAGTCGACAGAGGCGGGGATGACAGACCTGGTCCAAACTGTCCTGCCCCCAACCCTGCCCTGGGGAGCAGATCCCACCACTCCCTGTGCTGGCATGCCATCAGGCACTGGGTCTGTGTTTCCACGAAGAGCTCTGCTTTGCTGAGGAAAACGGAGCACAGGCTGTGTTGGGTACCCCAGGTAGGGCAGCTTCTCCCTGCTTCCCACCAACCTGTACAGGGCCACTACACAGTTGTGTCCCTAGTCCCTAGGACACAGACAGATGACTGCTAGGACGCTTAGAGGAATAGAGGCCAAGCTCGGGGAGTCCAGTGCCAGACCTGGGTCACAGTGTGTGGCATCCGTGGTCCTGGGCCCCACTCTTGACTCCACCAGGCTGCAGTGATGACCCCAGGGACTGATGGGGGTGCTGGTGGGCAGCCTCATCATATGTGTGCAGGCTGCCACACCCACAGGATTGGGGAAGGCAGATTCCTGCCAGGGCTTGACTCAGGCTGGCTGCTGACATGGGAGTGGTGCCCAGAAGTGCCTCAAAGCCCCCTGGCAGTCTTGAAGGTCTGTAAAATTCGCCAGTGTACTATCTGGCCCCATCCATTAGTGCTGACCTCGGTTCATATCCTCAGTCACTAGGGAGCCCCTGAGTGTACACTAGGACGTGGCCTTCAGAGGAGGAGGTGGCCATGGTTGGTTCGAGTGTTCACCCATATGGAAGTTCCTGCTGTGTGCTGGGGCTTTTTCAGGCAACACAGCACAGAACCACACAACACAGTGCCCAGGAGATGCTGGAGTTTGAGGAGGGGGCCAACAGTGAGCACACCAAGAGGCTGAGACATTTACCACAGGCTGAGGGTATGGTGGTCCAGGAAGGCAGCTTTGAGGACATGGCAAGCTGAGGCCTGAAGCTTCCAACCAGTTGAATAGAGAAGAAAGCATTCGGAAAGGGGAGGGAGCATGTGCAAAGGCCCCATGGCAGCAAAGAGCACAGGGTATCTGAGAACAGAGCAAGGCCACAGTGACTTTAAACTTGAGAGATGGCTCTTTAGACCACATCTCAGTGCACCTCCTGGCTCCCCTCTTCTCTTAGCTCTTCCTTCCTGTCATCTCGTTCCCCAGTCCACTGTGCCTGTCTTCATCCAGTGGACTCTGCAGTGTCAGGGAGATGATCTAATTGGCCAAGTTTGGACCAGGTCCCTCCCTGCTCCTGGACCAGCAGCCTGGGGCTTGAGAAAGCTGATGTAAACAATGTTTCTCAACCCACACCCCTGGCAGAGGCTCCAAGGGTATCTTCAGAGGAGATGTGGGCTGGCAGGCACCCCCCCGTAACTATGAGATCTGACCAGTCTAGGGCTGGAGAGCTCCATGGAAACCTTTTCCAGGTGCAAAACCTCCTAGCCCTCCCACCCGTTGGCTGCTAGGCCAGCTCAAGAAGTCAGTGTGTGAAGGGGCTGCTGAGGGCTAGATGCCACCACAGAGGAGGGCACCCTGCCTTCACTCCTTGCCCTGTCCGTCCTCTGCCTGGCCCCCGCCTGGTCCTCCTCCTGGACAGTCAGGGAAGCCATGTCTGTAGTTACTACAGTCTCTAAGAGAAAGGCATTGAGGGCAGGTCACGTGAGCCCAGAAGCCCCAGGGCCGGTGTGTCCCCTGTGTGTCCACAGCCCTGGCCTGGGCCTCTTGGCAAGCTGGCCTGAGGCAGTTGGCATCACATCCTAGGAACCCCTGCTTGACCTCGGAGATTAATTGGTACTTTTAATTACCGGCCGGTCTTCAGAAACCCAAC